CATAAAAAACATGTTGATGACGATGGCTGGATAAGATAATAAAGCACCATATGCTAAGCTTATTAGTTGCCAATAATTCGAGGCATTTGAGTATAGTATTTTATATAGTATAATTTATATTTATATAATAATTTAAGAAACTGTCGTTGTTTTGGAATAGGGAAATAGTTGGAAAAGGTTGGAAAATAAAGAGGTGATTAATGTTAGTATAAACATTCTCGTTCTTCATTACACATGTATTAATGCAGATTATGAGTAATAAAGGTTGACTATAAATCATACTCGTGTTAATGTAAAAATTAAACCATACAGTATTAATTTTAATAACAGATCTGTTACAATGTGAAACAGTTATAAGTATTTTACATAATGTATTGTAGCCGCTCATTTATTACTTTATAAATTAACACTCATTACATAAATTTGTATTATGATGTATTCAATGTTAACAGACCACATCATTAATCAATAATCGTAAAGCTATAGAGAATTAAAATTTGTGAGTTTGTTTGTATGTTATTAAAAAAATGACATTAATTTAGGATTACAATAATCTATGCAGTATTACGAACACACATTTCAGGTAGACCACCAACCAGATCGATAACAATACTCTGAAAGTCACACAAACACTTGCCACACACTTGTGGGCATCAAACTCACGACCTCTTACGCCGAAGTCGATAATGCTTCGCTTGCTCTAATCCTCGTGTGCCTACGAGTAATCTGAAAATATTTCAATAAATATTACAATCGGAAACGCGTATTCTCTACTTATTTATTATAGATAGATGGTAGATAGCGCCGATGAAAATTAGACATATCTTAGATTGTCTACTATTTTGATAGCGTGGTAATCAAGCTAGTATGTTACAAAATTAAAGATATGCACATTTTAATACATTTCTATCAATAATAATAAGCGTGCCCGCATCGAACAGCGGAACGGTTTAAATCATATCTGCTTCCGAATTGGTAATATATGTAAAATGTATTCAAAATAATCCGGTAAAAATTACATAGTGAATTAATCAGAGTTCGGAGGCGTGTTAATAATCGAGAGCGTGTAATTTAAAACAACATATGGTATCAATTAAACAGATGACCATGCGAACGATGATTTAAAAATTATTAAATCATTTGGACATGGCGTTCTCTGCAACAAAGCGTCGTACATTTTGTGGCGTTTGCGCTTCTCTAACGTAATAACTTCTATACTAATAATATTACTTGAAAACATAATATAGGCTAATAGACCTAATGAAGTAAATATTATTAAACTTTTATAGATCTCAATCAATATGACGAGTAATAAAAACGCCATAGTCATTTTTATTATTTATATGATTTTTTATTTTTTTCCTTATGCATTTATCTTATTCCAAAGTATTTAGGGTTCAAAGAATTTCATAAACAAACTGTACACATACATTACTGACTCAACGTGTACGAGTATATACAGTTATAACTAACAACAGTGATAGATTCATTTTTAATCATATATATCATCGTTTAAGCAAAACACGATAGGTCTCAGCTCGTCAGTACGAGAAACTCGATTTATATATACTTCCTTTAACCCCTGGCTTCAGCCCGGTGAATTACCTTATATAACCTCCATTTCTGCCTACCTAATAAGCCTCCGTTTCAATTTGTAATCCGTCCAGAGAGATGAAGACCAAACCAATAAACTGACAAATAATCGCTAGTACTAGTGTTGTTCGATATCAGGGAATATGCAAAATGCGCTGCCGAGTGCGCAATATCAACGGCAGCCGGTTCTCTCAAGGTCGCATCTCTAACGACAAACAAAGCCGTAAAATAGGAAGATGACTCGCTCACTCGACTACACCTACCATTATAAGATCGTGTTATTATGGAGAACACGTTTTCACCGTTAAAAAGGGACGTCCAATGCCGTCACTCAGCACAGAAGAAATTTACACATTTACACCTACGGTTAAATCAAATTAACGAGTAATTCGCGAAGAAAATTCGGCGAGCCGACAGTCGTAGTGGATAGTGAACTTGTCTCTTGGACCAGACTTGTGGGTTTGACACCCGCTACCCAAAATGTATTGTATGTTTGGTAGTAGTAGTGAGTAAAATTTATCGTTTAGGACGAAACACTAAAATTTGTAAAATAAAACAGACGAAGACTGGCCGCTGCGGGAATCGAATCCATGTCTTCCGCATCCGCGCGTAGATACTTGACCCACTAAGCTAAACGGCTGATTGCCACAACAACGAAAATCGCATTTCAAGCAATGCTTGGCAATTATATTGTTATATCCTTAACAGCATACAAACAATTTCAGAAATATGAGAAAGAATAACGGCGTAAACCGCGTCCGTAATCAACGAGTGCAAACACCTTTGCACATAAATGTCTCGTGGACCAACACTTAGAAAGTGCGAACTCAACTATCTTTGGGTCACAGTAAAGACAAGTTGTTAGTGGATGAATCGAACAACAACCCCCGACTTCTTGCGACAAATGGTCTTGGAGAAAATAAAAGTTTTTAGAGTTTCATCAAATTACTTGTAGGCCCACCCTTAGAAGAGACCTTTTGAAAATGTAACTGTCACGGAGCTACCCTGAATCCTCATTTACCGTCAGGTGAACCACTTACTGAATTGCCTTCTTTTTGGACTAAGCAAATGCCACCGACTCTGTTTGAATTTTGAGATCAGTATGCCGTCAATAAAATAAGAGTGATTTGGATTTAAATGCCATAAAACTTTAACATGACTATTGTTCAAGCAATATGTTGGTAGTGTTTGAAATTTGGAGCAGCTCTTAAGATAGAGAATGTCCATAAAAAAATTCTACAAGCAACACTTATTCTAACATTTTTGCTTACTTTTTGTATTACACGTGCTTTGGACTGAAGTTAGATAGCTGTTTATATCTCCTCTGTATTAGCATTATAAGCACAAGAGGTCTTGTACCCATTTCGTTTCTGTGAACTGCGCTCTACGAGCAATTTGATACTGGTTCGACAATTCGTAGTGACTTTATGAGCACACGTCGAATTAATTTCTAAGTACGAAAAATGAGTGACACTAAAATGTTTTGACGTACAGGGGTTAGTAACATCGTGGTCGGAATATAAAACAGGAGAGATACGTCATTAATACGTCAGCGCACAGTTGTCTCCAACATTGAACGGTTATTTTTGAATAGGCAATCCATTTCTTAATAAAATTGGCCTCTATGGATAAAATCACACTTTAGCATAACTAGTAAGCAGTTGTAAAATTAGTAATCTCTCTGTTATACATATTACACTAAACAACCTCACATTGACATTCTCTGTGATATTTCACATGCTACTTTTTTAACTATAGAAATATGAGTAAGTGATGTGGCCACATTTCAGTATACATTTGGCATACTAAAATATTTTATTTAAATAGTTGGCAAAGTACTAGAATACTCTAGGGTATTAAAATTTGGTGTCAGTATGAGAAACTACTTGAAGAATGTAAACAATTTCTTAGTGAAATACTAAGAAATTGTTTAATTTCGATTCTTACCTTCTCTTCTTGTAAAAACATGTGATCCATGGTGTTAATGGTATTAAAATATTATTGCTCGGTTTTTCACGATAAGCCGTGCAACTAACATCAACCCCCCTTGGGAATAAACACGGAGATCCGGAACAATTATGTAAAAGTAAAGTAAAGTAACAGCCTATACATGTCCCACTGCTGGGCAAAGGCCTCTTCTATACATAGGGTATCAGGACATAGTCCACCACGCGGCCCCGCTGCGGATTAGCGGACTTCACATATTTTCGAACTATATTTTTTTTGGTATTATTTCGAAAATATGATTATATTCAGGTTTCCTCACGATGTTTTCCTTCGCCGCGGAGCACGTGATAAGTCAGCACTTAAAGTTAAAAACTTCATTGGTGCTGGCACCGGGGATCGAACTCAGGTTGCTCGAATATATTGAATTAAAGGCGAGCGCCCGGACACTGAGCTATCACGGCTCTTATCTTAAAAATTATGTGTGATCACACAATTGCTTGTCATGTTTGGTATCAAATACACTATCCCGAGTGCTGAATCCACCGAGTCCATTGCCCATTGTCGTAAATCTTCTATTTTTAAATGTGTTACATATTAATTAACACATATAAACACATGTTACATATTAATTATTTTGATTCAATTTCAATCAATTCCTTTATCCGTTGAGAACTTACTAATTAAGTACATAAATATTTAATACCAACGTGCTTGCAACATATCACTATCTTTCTAGCTCACCGCTGCTCTGTTATTATATAATCTAAATAGCATTAGATTTTTAAATTTATCGCATATAAATCATTTCTGTTAAATCGCAAGTACCGTGAGCAATTTTTTCTAGCATCATAAACGGGAGGGCACATCGAAAGCGAAGAGGTTTGTAATATATCGTGGCGATAGCTCCGTAGCCCGCAGCGTCAGCAACCCTTATTCTATAACAATAAGGATGGTAAGCTATTTTCAGATATAAGAAAGTCGGCTGATTGGCTGCTTCGATCTGACATCGATCGCCTTAATGTGCTGTGGTGGGGAATAACTGATGGGATACAGCGGGTACGATGGCAAATTATAGCCTGTTACCGCTACGTTTCTGCTTTTCGCTTTCTTTAAAATCGTATGTGCATCAGAATATTTATGAAAGTTGCTTGGTAATTCACCACGTGAACATTGTGGTTTATTAATCTAGACTAGTTATTTTTTCACTTTGATTCTCACGTGAACGTTGTTTTCAGTTAACATAGAAGAAAAATATGATAAAACTTATATACTAACTCAGACAAAAGTCGATACTTATTATCCTTGAACAGACTCTTGGAGCCGAATTGAAAAACTACGCATTTTATGAGTGAAGAGTAACTTAGCTAGAAAGAAAGAAACAGTAGGTAAAAGTACGAAGATAGACGTGGGAATAAGGAACGCATGTAGTCGCACATAAACAAGGAAGCTTGCGTGCACAGATGTGTATAGAACGTGTTCGTCCCCGCTTGCGCTTACGCCTTGCGCGCCGGCGGGAGTATCGCAACGTAATGGGGTGGGCGATTGCGGGCGGTACGCATGCAGAGCACGTACCGCGCGGAGAAATTACGCGCGTCGATCCCGCAGGATCGGGCGGGATTCGGTCAATCGATGCGTCTCCCAGGGACCGGTGGGCGCGCCGCCGTCGCCTCGGTGAAACGCTCGCGAGTATCTCCACTCAACAGTCCCCGGACGACGGCGGCCTGAATCTGAAATCAAAGACGGCTCGCTCCGGCAGAAGTGGAGGCGAGGAACTTTCGCGCCATTCGCACATTTCACACGTTACCAGGAAACCATGGCGTTAGTAATGCGATAAAAAGTTATTGAAATGTAGACGAGCCTCATTTAAAGTTATAGAACTTACTTTAACTTAATAATAGTAAAGCGTATGACGTAAGATTTAGGAGCGTTCAAAGTCAAAGTCAAGTTTGAGAAAGCGTTACATAGTTAATAGTATATTTAATGCATAGGAAATTGTAATCAAGAAAATACATTACACTGATCATGCGAGGCATTTGATTTGAGGTCTGTTAATAGGAGTTTTGTACATATAAATGTTATAATTCGTTACAGCAATTTTCTTCAAGATGGATAGTCATTGTAATATAATTATACTCGTAAGCTATGGGCACTATTGAAAAATATATTTGTAATCGGGGTTTGTTATAACAAATCATTTATTCATTTATGGTTATAACTTGCACAGTTATTTATATAGACTATTATTGGGTAAAAAGTAAAAAAGTAAAGTAACAGCCTATACATGTCCCACTGCTGGGCAAAGGCCTCCTCTATATAGAGGGTATCAGGACATAGTCCACCACGCGGCCCCACTGCGGATTGGCGGACTTCACATATCTTCGAAATATTTTTTTTGTTATTATTTCGAAAATATGCAGGTTACCTCACGATGTTTTTCTTCACCGCGGAGCACGTGATAAGTCAGCACTTAAAGTTAAAAACTTCATTGGTGCCGGCACCGGGGATCGAACTCAGGTTGCTCGAGTATATTGAATTAAAGGCGAACGCCCGGACACTGAGCTATCGCGGCTTGTTATTGGGTAAGCAAATATGTAAATGCTTATCAACCGCCAAAACTGACCGATGGTGAACTGAGTTGAGAAAAGAATCAGGGAAAATATTGACGAAAAGCTAAAAGTCACTGGTGTTTAGTAAATGTACAATCTATCTGACGTTTGAATAATTACTGTTACTTTTATTGGGTTAGAGTTTTGTGGGTTCCCTATAGTATCGAGGAGGTTAGATAAAACCACGCTACTATATTAAATATTTATCAATAAATGCATAAGACAGTGAGCGTTCTCTAACTGCTGTACTGCACTGCAAAGGGGCGCAAAGCGTCAGACAACAATATCAATTTAGGAGGTAATGTGTTGCCACACTTTCATTGCTATACGGCTTTGTTCAGATCGATGGCTCCATCGTCATCGAAATAACGTAGCTCCATTAAGAGCGGGGCAACAGCTTAATACAACGTAGGACCGACGTCGCAACGATGCTTTTTAAGTAGACGCGAGCCCGCACCGAAACAACATAACGCGAAAAAATATTATTTCGAGGAGCCCTCCGTGCGTTAAAGACCACCCCGAGGGCCGCACCCCCACCACCCCCTCGCCCATTCCGCCCCATGGCTAGGAGCAACGCCGCTTTATGCAATGTGTACGTGCGTGACAATCACACTTTATTGCCCGAGACGCGAAATTGAATGGATCCAAGTTGGGCGCCTTCTCCGCGGACCGTCGAGATGCCGCCGTTAGTCTGATAGAAATCTCTATTCGAAAAACTAATTTCGGATTACAACGGAGCTCGCGACGTCGCACTCGTAAAGGGTATTATTACCAGCCTCTGTCTGAACTAGTTCTAGTGGGCTTAATGGCTCGGGAGGACTTCGCAATCTGTCATTTTCTCAACAAACCAGATGAAGTGTAATAGATGTTGTCATACATAAGTTAAGTCTTAGTAATGCTTACCGTCATGAAAAAGATTTTTTTTATAATAATGTTGTATGTAATTACTAACAGATTCATGTGACCGTGATCGGTCACCGAATGGTATAGTAATGATCGCTCATCCTGGAAATGAATACTGGAAACAATAATGGTCTTCATACATTTCTAAATATTTTTCTTGTCAAATAATGATAAAAAAATGTCACGCTCACTTTCTTTCGCCGGTTCTTCTCAGGTCAGTGGCTTTTCTTTTCCGAACCGACGGTGGTGGCGTTTTGACAATCAATAAATAAGTGTTATGCTGTGAAAGATTATTTTATAAAGATTAGATTATATATTGAATAAAAATATTTGGATTTTAATGTGTATACAAGTATTTATCAACGAAAAGTATCTTATTTAGAAGAAGAAAGTTTTTCAATCATTTCAATCATTCATCAAGAAAGTTTTTTTATAAAAACTAACTTTGTTCAACTTGTCTATTTTTCGTCTATAACAGAAAATATAAACTTTAAAAATTGTAAATCATTAAATCTGATAATCATTAAAAGAATCATTAGAAGTTATCGCAGTCCGACAAAAATACCCTAGACGAATAAAATAAGTATATAGATATTTGAAACCCACTATTTATTGCAGTCCCTTAGTGAGTTTTTAAAACCACTGTCGCACTACGATGTAATACTCTATTTTAACGTAATAACGAAATTTTTGACAGTAACATAAACATGAAAATTATTGATGTGAATAAAAGCGTATCAATACACGACATTGTTAGAAACGGAACACACTAAGGAAACAATCTCTTCACCCTGTGACAAGGAGTCCCTCCCGAGGCACGTACAGTCTTCGTTCTAATAATTCTTTTTAAATGTGAAATGTTATTTTTCTGACAGCCCACTGGTTTTGGATACGTCGGCCGTGTCCCCCGGACGGAGGCGAGCTATGTCGCTCCCCGAAAATTTTCCGGGACCTACGAAATAATTCGCACGAAAAATGTTGAAGCCATAATGACCACAGGCATCTACAAGGTTGTTAATAATTATAACAATTATAAGTTACCAACGTTTCAATTTAGATAGGACGAAAAATTTTCCCAGATTTCAAAGCTTACGTTTTCCAAAATGTAAATTTCGACCAGATTTTGACTGTATTTGAGTTTTGGAAAGCGATTTCTTACTTCCTTTGAATATATGAATAAACCTGTTTCATAATGGAAAAACAGATTTCTCTTTAGTGACAGATCAATACTTGATAATATCGGATGAGAAAAATGAAATCGTAGGACCTGGAAACTTTATCTTCGTGATTAAAATGTTTCTGTTTCTACTTAAACATTAAATGGATTTACAAAAAAAGCTTAGAAGGAACCAGTCAAGAATAGTTTTTTTTTTTTATTTCATAGTTTCTCTTTTAACGTTTTGAAATGACAGAGCATTGTGTATCTTTTATAGCTCCTTTATTATTAAAGCCACAGATAACAGTAAGGTATAAATTTTAAAAACTTCACAACACGATTCCTAGATTTTAAACTTCCGTGAGACTTTCATGCACGTATAATTTCAAATACGAGCGGAATACGTTGCTATTGTGAGTAAAAAGTAAAATGAATGATACAGCAATACAAAGGTAAATTATTAATTCAGCTTTCGGCGATGAAACCTAAGACCCCGCTGCGATTCCGATGGTAACGTCGTCATTAACATCCAATCTAATGCGACCATAAAACTAATAAAAAATATCCATCCGAGAATGTTTTACCAAAACCAAGAGAAATTTATAAGACTGTAGTGACATAGGCACTTTTACTTGTATAGAAACGATTCCCACATGGTGTAGTGTTCAAATTTGACCAGGCTACAATACAATCATTAGAAACTCGAACTAAATATGAATAAAATTGGTAGCGTTAGACATACATAGTTCCTTTCAGTGATCATTTGAAAATTTCTGGGATTGTAAGTTGGTTCAACAAACGCTGAAAGTAGAAGCACGGATGAGTGCAAACGTAAGTGAACACATCGCTTTTATCGACATAAATCATAGCATTTACTCCACTATATCGCCACTATACTTAAGATGTTCCAGCCGATGGACGTAAATAGTGTCATCAAAATATCTGCGAGCGCTGCAAACACGTCCGTACGCTCTACGGCACACGGCCCAAATTCCAATGGCGGGGGTGGGGAATAAGTAAATATTGGAAATGAGGAATCTATCCAACACTGCGGTAAGTAATCTTGAATTATTGATGCGGAACGCGTTACGCGTTGTACATCTATTTTTACGACGTCGCTTCCTCCAATACTCGGGGTCTCTTTTTATGGCTCCTATATATTTCATGCACTCGCTCCGGGGAAAAAAATCCGAAATCAATTCGATGAATTGGACGAAATGGGCCAAAGCTGATGATTTCTGATGTAGGAACGCGGCCCGGCATAAACGCCCCCTTAATACGACGCGGATGAAACGGCAGTCGTGTAAAAATTATTTCGATCATCAAAACAAATATTCAACAACATTGAACTATGTAACTATTCTTCGGTTAGCGCTTTCTTTTCCTCCCTTATCCAAGCTTACTAACATTTTTACGTGCCTGCCATTTCCATAAACAACTGTCAATTATGTTATAAATGAAGAAACCTTGCGATTTGAAAGATCGAACAAAATGCAAGATGTTTTATTACATACATGTGAAGGTTACTATCATTAACAACTTAAGAACCCACCAGTATATGCTCTTTCTTTCTTTTTTCGTTAAGGAGACAATGTTAAAAGCACAAAAGAAATATGAGAAAAAAAATTGGAGTATGTGACACAATTGGTCGCAGAGATTAAATGAGAGATACAAGTGGCATATCTTCTTTGTGTTCGCGGTAGCTATTTATAAGTGCGGAGCGTTGCGAATCAAATGTTTATTGTGAACAGTATTGGGAACAGGTTCATTTCATTAACCAACAAGCAGAACGGCATTCTCTGCGGCTCGGATAGTGATGTAAGGGCGCGAGACCTTCGCGAGCTATGATCTTTACGAAGTTCGTGTACGCTAAAGGCGAAAAGATTTCACGTTTTCGCACCCAAAGAAGAAGAAAGGGCTAGGCTTTCCATATTTCACCGACCTAATTCAGTCCAACGGTAAAGAGAGTCCCGTGGCTGTCATTGGGCACAAATATAAGACACAAAATGTTACCCCTAAGCAGACCTAAGCAAAACCGATGTCTTAGCTGCTAAAGCATCACTCAATGCTGACTATCGGTAATAGGTATATAACAATTTATTATTTAATAATTTCTCATTCTATGTAGATTGGTTTCTTGTTTTAATTCTCGACG